TAATTTGTTTACCACTCCTGAGATATTCAGAGCCCAGCCAGACAGCAAAGGCTATTTAAAACACTTATGCAGTATGCAGAATATTTTCCATATGAACAACTAAGGCGAAGGATGCCTTTTTAAAAAACAATAATAAATGTATGCTTTTGCAGGTAAAAAAAATGCATTTATGATTTTATTTCTCAGAAACCTACACAGCCATGCACCTGGGACTTGTAGATTATTCATTCACAGACTTCTGTGAATGAATGACATGGCTGTGCAGGCAGAACCTTGGTTTTTAAAATGTGGCCAAGGGAAACAGTGAGGGGGAATTGGGGGCTACGTATGGAGATGCTGCAGCATGTTACACCTTAAATGCAAGTGTAATGTGTAACAAGCTGCTAAAAGGTGAATTTAGCCTTTAACTATACCTACATCCTATAGATGTTAAAGAGGAGCTCCAGTCACATTTGTATTTATTAAAAGTCATAGCTACAAAAACTGTAGATGCTGACCTTTAATAAACAGACACTCACCTGTCCCAGGATTCAGCGATGTGCTCACCTGAACCGTTCCTTTCATCGATCTTCTGTTCTCAGCATCTCAACTGTGGGCACCTTTACAGCCAGGTGCCCATTGTACATGCACGAGCCAGCCATGCTGCACACTGTAAATCAGTGGTTCTCAACCTGTGGGTCGCGACCCCTTTGGGGGTTGAACGACCCTTTCACAGGGGTCACCTAAGTCCATCGGAAAACACATATTTCCAATGTGTAAAGAGCAGCTACTGTGTAGAAAGCAGCTACTGTGTTGAAAGCAGCAGTATTGGAGGTAAAACGACACTTCATGAATTATAATTACTGGGTAAATAATTTTATGGTTGGGGGTCACCACAACATGAGGAACTGTATTAAAGGGTCGCGGCATTAGGAAGGTTAAGAAACACTGCTGTAAATGGTCCCACAGTCTACTGGGACCTGTGACACATCCCAGAAGACTGAGGGGAGGAGGAGGGAGAGAACTGTCAAAACCAAGTACTCCCCCCCCTCTAAAAAAGTGAAGGGGGGGGAGGTCTTGAAGCTCTAAGCTTCAAAGAAAAATCCTGACATGCACTTACCCTAGGTTCACACCTAAGCGTTTTCTACAGTGTTTTGCAGAAGTGCAGTACAGTCCATTTAACATGATTTTCTATGGGACATGTTCACATCTGTGCATTTTCACTCGGTACATTTTTTGGAAAGGGTCAGGGACTTTTTTGAGCGCAAAAAGTTTCGTTTTTGTTTCTATAAACTTCAATGGAAACGCTGCAGAAAAGCATGTATTGAGCTTTTACTGCATTTTTTATGTGTTTTGCCTTTTAAATCTACCTAGCAACAAGAAAAAAAAAAGCGCAAAACACCTCAAAAACACAAGTGCAAAGCTCAATGCAGAAACGGCTCAAACACAATCGGTTTGAACCTAGCCTAAATCCTTTCAATATATCAAAATTAAATAAAAACTGAAAACTTCTGCTAACCCTTATATAAATCATATAAAATCTCATTGTTGACTATTATAAACTGTATGGCTGCCAGCATGGTTCAAAGGATTTCCAGCTCAAGAGACAAAGAGGATGTAATCCTTTATAATACAGGAGATAATGCAGTGAGGGAATAGGGCCGTAGAGGGGAAGCATGTGCCTAGAACTTCATACATAGTTACATAGTTAGTCTGGCTGAAAAAAGACAAAAGTCCATCCAGTTCAACCATGTAAAAAAAAAAAAAAAAAAAAGTTATAATCCTATACCCACAGCTGATCCAGAAAAAAAAAAAACCCAGCAAAGCATGATCTCATTTGCTCCTGCAGAGGAAAAAATTCCTTCCTGATCCCCCGAGAGGCAAAAGGATATTCCCTGGATCAACGTTATCTATAAAAGTTAGTCTCCAATTATATTCTGTGCATCCAAGAAAGAATCCAGACCTTTTTAAAACAATCCACTGAGCTGGTCAGAATGAACTCTTGAGGGAGTCTATTCCACATTTTCACAGCTCTCACTGTGAAGAAACCTTTCCGTGTTTGGAGATTACATTTCTTTTCCTCCATACATAAAGAGTGCCCCCTTGTCCTCTGTGATGACCTCAGGGTGAATAGCTCTACACCAAGTTCACTATATGAACCACTGATGTATTTATACATGTTGATCATATCCCCCCTTAATCTCCTCTTCTCAAGAGAGAACAAATTCAGTTCCTCTAATCTTTCCTCATAGCTGAGCTCCTCCATGCCTCTTATCAATTTGGTTGCCCTTCTCTGTATTTTCTCCAGTTCCCCAATGTTCTTTTTGTGACTTGGTGCCCAAAACTGAACTGCATATTCCAGATGAGGTCTTACTAATGATTTGTACAGGGTAATATGATATCTCTCTCTCTGGAGTCTATACCTCAATTAATACAAGAGAGGATTTTGCTCGCTTTAGAAACCGGAGCTTGGCATTGCATGCCATTATTAAGCTTGTGATCTACCAGAACTCCCAGATCCTCCTCCACCATTGATTCCCCCAGTTGTACTCCCCCTAGTATGTATGATGCATGCATATTCTTAGCCCCCAAGTGCATAACCTTACATTTATCAACATTAAACCTCATTTGCCACATAGTTGCCCAATTAAACCATGCATTGAGGTCGGCTTGTAAATTGGAGACATCCTGTAAGGACGTTATTCCACTGCACAGCTTGGTGTCATCTGCAAAGACTGAAATGGCATATTTAATCCCAGACCATATATTGTTTATAAATATGTTAAAAAGTAAGGGTCCCATTCAGAATATAAATCATTAACCACTACTCTCTGAATACGATCTTTTAGCCAGTTTTCTATCCATTTACATACAGATTTTGCCAAGCCCGTAGAATTTACCTTACACATTAGCCGTATGTGGGGAACTGTGTCAAACGCTTTTGCAAAATCCAAGTATTCCACGTCCACCGCCACCCCTCTGTCCAAGGTTTTGCTCACCTCCTCATAAAAAGAAATCAGATTCGTTTGACAACTTCTGTCTTTCATGAACCCATGCTGGCTGTTATTTTAAATATTTTTTTTTCTAGCAAGAGCTCATCTATTTGGTCTTTTATTAAACTCTCTGGTATCTTCTCAACTATATAAGCTAAACTAACAGGTCTGTAGTAACTTGGTAAAGATTTTGACCCCTTTTTAAATATTGGCACCACATTGGCTTTTCCCCAATCCAGTGGTGCTATGCCAGTCATTAAAGAGTCCCTAAAAATTAAAAACAATGGCTTTGAAATGACAGAGCTCAATTCTTCAAGGACTCGTGGGTGTATGCCATCCAGTCCAGGTGCTTTATTCACCTTTATACTGTCAAAATATTCTTGGATCATATCAATTTGAGCCAATGTGGATCATCTGGAGCTGTGTCAATACCATGCCCATTATGGACAAGAGCTCCCCCATGCTCCTTTGTATACACAGAGCTGAAGAAGGTATTTAATAAACTTGCCTTCTCTTTGTCCCCAGTCACCCACTCTAGATTATTTTGTAAAGGGCCTACATGCTCAGACCGGATCTTTTTACTACTATATTTGAAGAATGTTTGGCGGTTGGTTCTGCTATCTTTTGCAATCTGCTGTTCGTTTTCAATTTTTGCAGCCTTTATTTCCTTTTTGCATATTCTGATATCATTTAAACATTACAAAGAATATGATAGCGTTTCTTCATTTTTATATTAATAAAAGCTCTTTTCTTATTATCCATAGCTTTTTCAACTTTGGCCGTAAGCCACATAGGTTTGACTTTAGCCTTTTAAACTTGCTGCCCATGAGAATATATTTTGCAATGTGAAAGAATATGTAAAACCATCATTTCACATTCCTGATATGTGTACAACCCAGGTATCCTGTTATCTTTGTATTTATTGCTTTGTGTGAAATCCCTGGTGTTCCTGTCAGTCTCTTTGCCTATTAAAAATTGACTAAACTAAGCATAAGAGCACAGCGTGGTCAGTTCTCTAGCTATGCTGGGAAATTAGCCTGCTCTCCTCCAATGATCAAAGTTGTCCACACACACGCGCGCCCCCCCCCCCCCCAAGCTTTTTTATTGGGAAGATGTATGTATGTATGTATGTATGTATGTATGTATGTATATACACACACACACTGCCCTTTAAAAAAAGTTGCAGTACAGTACCTTCCCTCACACACCAGGTACTGCACTCTAGGGGTAGGCAGAGAGCACAGCACACACTCCCCCTCCTTTTCCTTTCCCCAGTCTAACTGAGCTCCCTCATTGCCAAAGTACAGTTCAGCTGGGATCAGGAACTTGGACTCATCTGACAGCTTTTCTCTACCAGGATGCCGCGGCACCCCGTTTGAGAAAGGTTGTATTAAAGCGCCTACTGCTTCAACATGCTTTTTTGATGTATTTTTGATGCTTCGATGATGCTTCAGTGGTGCTTTAATGAAGCTTGGCACATGTCCTGTGTGCTGATAACTCATACCTGCAATACCTCAAAAACAAAAGCAAAGCTAAACCTAAATAAAAGCCTCTCAAAAGTTGCAGGTGCTGTAAGTGAGCTTTGTCAACGACTTCTATGGAGGCTTTGAAGCACCACTAAAGTGACATGGGGTACAATTTTTTAAGCAAAGCAAACGCAATGTGTAAACAGGACTATAAGATTACCATTTCATTTAATGACTGATGCTCTGACTGGCGTTCAGAGTGCTTTAAAAAAAAGTGTGTCCAATGCCATGTTTTAAAGCTAGTGTAAGAAAGCCCTAATTGTGTCACTGGCTGGTTTCCGGATAAACAAAATACACTATAACAACCATACCTAGGGATTGTTTAAACTGCAATATAATACATTTTTGTTTTTAAGGTTAGGTACACTTTAAGTGTTGCACTCCAACCTCCCCTTTAGTCTTACACAGTTGTCCAGACTCCTCTCCTGTACTGCAACTGTCTACTCTGGCCAAGGTTCTCCAAACATTCTATCCTTCAGACTTTAGAGGGGCTGGACTGTGGCCAGTGGGAGTAACAATGTCCCATCATTGGTGTCAGTGGGAGGAATAGTGTCCCATCATTGCTGTCAGTGGGAGGAATAGTGGTCCATCATTGCTGTCAGTGGGAGGAATAGTGGTCCATCATTGGTGTCAGTGGGAGGAATAGTGGTCCATCATTGGTGTCAGTGAGAGGAATAGTGCCCCATCATTGGTGTCAGTGGGGGAATAGTGCCCCATCATTGGTGTCAGTGGGGGGAATAGTGCCCCATCATTGGTATCAGTGGGAGTAACAATGTCCCATCATTGGTGTCAGTGACAGGAATAGTGTCCCATCATTGCTGTCAGTGGGAGGAATAGTGGTCCATCATTGCTGTCAGTGGGAGGAATAGTGGTCCATCATTGGTGTCAGTGGGGAATAGGGCCCATCATTGGTGTCAGTGAGAGGAATAGTGCCCCATCATTGGTGTCTGTGAGGAATATTGTCCTATCATTGGTGTCAGAGGAAAAAAAAAAGTGTCCCATCATTGGTATCAGTGGGAGGAATACTGCCCCATCATTGGTGTCAGGGAGAGGAATAGTGCCCCTATCATTGGTGTCAGTAGGAAGAATAGTGTCCTATCATTTATGTCAGCAGGAAGAATAGTGCCCCATCATTGGCGTCAGTGGGAGGAAAAGTGCCCCATTGCTGGTGACAGTAGCAGGAATTGTTAATGTCAGAGGGAGGAGTAGTGCATGCCCCAAGGGCTGGATAATGGCAAGCAAAGGACCACTGAAGTAGGCTATTCTCCTTAAGCCAACCTGTTCCTGCTTTATTCACTGAATTTTAGTTTTTTCAATCTTGATGCTCAGCATCACATGTGGGTTTTACTAAGGGTGTACTGTCAGAAATATAATCAGTCTAAAAACTCCCACTTCTTCAGACTGATATTCACCCAAGAAGGGGGGTGGCAGGGAGTTGTGGTGTCAGACCGTTGGAGAGTCAGGTAGCTGCTTTGAAAGATAGAGCCACAGCCTGACTATATGCTGCCAGCACACTGTATTTTACCCCCTGCTGCAGCCATTAGTAATGAAGAAGTATAACCACCACATATACAGTATATTATCGCTGCTCCAGGTGAGACGGATCCAAATCTCCAGGCACTACTCTCCTATGTGTGCCCACTCAGCTTGCGTGCTGCACAGTGAAAAGCAAAGAAGGTCCGGTCAGCTGCACTCCAAATAATCCACTTTATTAGGCATACAATAAAACCAAATGCCAGAGAGTGGAAATACAGTGGGGGACAAGCAGGTAAGTGCATTTCATGTTAGGAGCAGTTCTTAAGTGTGTAACATGTTTACCTGCTTGTCCCCCACTGTATGTCATATGATTTTATAGTACATCTAATAAAGTGGATTCATTGGAGTGCAGCTGACCGGATCTTCTTTGCTTGTAACCACCACATATGGATTACTAAATATGTAGCCTGGTTGCATTAAAAAAATAACAAGGGTTCAGTTGGGCTTTAACATCCACCTCCAAATAAATTGTATTTTTTATTTAGGGTAGAATAGGCAAAGATTAGAAAATCTGTTGGGCTTTTAATGCTGACTGGGTCCCCAATAGGAAGATTTCCCTTCCCTTCCTAGGAACAGCACAAGAAGCAGCAGAGGTTCTATCCCTTCCCCATTCTAACATTTCCTGTCACTAGGACAGACAATGCTGGGAAGAACCCAAAGACATTCTCCTCCCAACTCCATGTTGCTATTTATCTTCTTTCCTGTCTTGAAGGCCACCATCATGAAGAACAAAGGCTAGGGCAAATATCCCCAGGGGGGAGAGCAAAAGAAAATGGACAGTGGTTTTAAAATTCTTCACGTCTATCCAAAACCCACCTTCAACAAGCCAATAGGTACACAGCAAGTCAAACTGAAGTATTAGAAATATATATGTAATGTAATGATGTAACATTTCAATTGTATATGAAGGTAAACAATCTCTACAGATATCCTTCCAGCATAAGAACACGGATGGGAGTAGCTTTAAGTGTCTGATTACTACAAGCCGCACAGAATCCAAATGGCATGCAATGAATTGTGTGCCAAGAAATGGCTCAAAGTCTCACTTTAGTCTACACAGCAGATAAGGCTAGTCATGCATACGAAGACTTGTCATACCTACAGACTGATTATCTTGTGCGAACACTTACAACGCTTGAAGAAATGTTTATGAAAGATTGTGCTTTATCGGTCTCCTGCAGATTATGTATATAGTATAGAATATGAACCTACCAAATACAGCATTACATTGTGGACAGAACGTGCCATTAGCATGATCACTGACTATGTCCCATTCTGTGACTGATCACATTTTCCCGACGATGTATTAAACATAAATAAGGCCAGACACAGGCGCACGTTTTGCCCAGTACATGGAAATATCCAATAATTGCAAAAAATCAAACTCATCATTCTCTGCCAGTAGAGGTAACAACTTTTCAAGCTGCAAAAGATCATTTTGTGACATGCACAGACCATTATCTAACCGTTGCATATAGATAGAGTATGGGCTTGCAGCAAAACTCCAGCCAGGAGGAAAAGAATAGAATTAGAGAGCTTACCATCAGTAAAAACCTCTCCATGTTTATGGTTTACGTTCCATTAGACTACTACTAATTCTCCCCAAACAGGTCTCCCATTTTATAGCATGTTCTGATTTGTATGACCAGGCACCATTCATGGACGCATTTCCTCCTCTGGATGCACTTTGCTTGCACCCAGCTGCAATTACCACAGATGATCCCTAGCTGTGTGAACAGGTACGAATAGCTGTGGCACAAACAGCCTGTTATTACAGTGTACGGGCTCAGCAGCCACTGTTATTCACATGCATCTGTCAATCCCAGCAGCAGGAATCAGTCAATTCCTTGCACTGGGATTCCCACCGTGTCTAAATACCCGTACAAATGCAGTCTTATGCACCTCTGATCACTTGTCTTTTGCAGTTTTTTTTCAAAGCTGATAATGACAGAACAAAGACATCTTGGGATTACAATGTACACTGCACTGTAATAATACATTAAAGTGATTCTAAAGGAAAGAATTAAAAAAAAAAAAAAAAAACGTTATACTTACCTGCTCTGTGCAATGGTTTTGAACGGAGCGGACCTGATCCTTTTCTTTTTGGGTCCCCTGCCAGGGGTCCTGGCTCCTCCCCCCTGCCAAGTGCCCCTAATAGCAAGCCTCTTGCTATGGGGGCACCCGAGTAGGCTCACTCTTTTTACATACAGAACGTGGCTCAGCCCTGCCCCCTCACTCTCCTCACTAAATGTGCTTGATAGCAGTAGGAGTCAATGGCTCCAATGATGAGAGAGAGGCAGAAGAGCCAATGATGAGAGAGCCAGGAGAGCCATTGCTTTCATGCACATTGCTGGATCGAGATGGGGCTCAGACAAGTATAATGGGGAGGCGCTGCACCCAGAAGGTTTTTTTACCTTAACCCTTTGAGGACCTTAAGATTTTGGAACACCAAAAGAATCAATTTTTTGGCTTTTAAAGTTCGTACACTTCAGTTGCTGTAACTAAGCCATTTCATGAAATAATTGGCAAAAAGCTAGATCCATTTGTTGATAAGTACTAATATTTTGACTCAAACCAAAAAAAAAAAAAAAAAGTATTTTAAGTTCTTAATCAGATGATACAGGCAATTAAAAACATGGGGCAAATACGTCCCTTGGCCCTCAAAGGGTTAAAGGATAAGTTCACCTTTGGGAACATGTTACTCCCCTCTCCCTGTGACAGCAGTACGGGGAGAAGCTGTCGGCTTGTAGTTTTCATGAAATACCATGGCGCTGCAAGCACTGTGGTAGTTCATTGAGTCTTCCTGTCAGAAGTATCGGCTTGCCTGTACAGGATGTACACATATAACACAGTCTGTGGGACACCTGCATGGCATTAGCGATCTGCTGACCGCTGGTGCAATGCTTTACAGGCTTCTACTACAAAAAAAAAAATTAATAAATGCACATTTTTTTACCTACAAAAAATGTGCATTTATTATTTTTGTAGAATGGTGAACATATCCGTTAATGTATAGAATGCACTAATGTAAATAAACCTTGAGCCATTAGAACCACTTAAAAATATATCCCCCTTCAGTCCATCATGAATGCTGCTGCCAGGCTCATCTGTCATACCAACCGTTCAGTGTGTGCAACCCCTCTCTGCCAATGCCAAGCATTGACTGCCACTCACCCAATGAAATAAATTCAAAATACTAACTACTTACAAAGCCATGCACAACTCGGCCCCCCAGCTACATCACTAACCTAGCGTATCTGCGTTCCTCCCAAGAATTTCTGCTCTCTAGTTCCCTTGTCACCTCCACCCATGCTCACCCTCAAGACCCGAGCCTCTACCATCCTATGGAATTCCCTACCCCAATCAAACTATCTCCTACTCTGTCCATTATTAGGTGATCCTTGAAAACATCTTTTCAGAGAGAAGCCTACCCTGCCTTCAACTAACAACTGTACATGTATTTTCTCCATCAGCTCATTCCCCACAGTTATTACCTTTTGTATCACTTGACCCTCCCTTTTAGATTGTAAACTCTAAGGAGAAGGGCCCTTTGATTCCTGCTGTATGGAATTTGGATTGTAACTGTACTGTTTGCCCTCGTTGTAAAATGCTGCGCAAAATATTGGTGCTAAATACTGTATAATATACTGTATAATACTGTATATATTACTAATAATAATAATGGCCAATAGGGTTTAATATTTTCTTTACAAATGGATTATTCCATGTAGGTCAGAACTGTAAAAATATTTTCACTGCATTATTTGTATTCTAGTACTTATCACATTGTACTCTAAAAACTTTTCCTAAAAAATGTATTAAAACAGAACATTAAGGGCTCGTGTACACTGCAGCTCCTAAATTGACGTTCAGGAGCTGTTCAGCTTTTTTTTTCAGCAGCCCCTGAACTCTCCCTAATGTTTTCCTATGCATCCATGTACACATAGTTGTTTACAGGCAGTTGAGTTTACAGGTTTTTTTTCAATGCACCAAAGTTGCATTGAGGAGTAGATTTTACTGGCACTGTAAACAATTGTAAATGTGGTTAACCACGTTTAAAAGTGTTTTTAACTGTTCCATGTCCAGAGCCTTTTTTTCATCATCAGAAATGCATGCAAAGTGTTTTCCATGTATTCAAATGGACCTAGTACACCAGCGCAGTCAGTTACAGGTTTTGCGTGAAGGAAAAAATGGCAGAACGTGCTGCATTATGCTCATGATGGGATCCATAGTGAATACAACCAGAAAGGACAGGTCATCTCAACACATACAGATCTCTCTGCTTCTATTCTCTTTATTTCTCTCAAAATATCTGAAATAGTTAATTATTTACCATTTTTCAGTGCATTCTGGCATTTGGGAAGGTCTCCTGAGGTTATCTTTTAAAAATGCTTCTAAAACGCAAACACACATAAACGCGGTATGCAAAGACGGCTAAACTGATGTTTTTTAGCAGTCAGTTTCCATCGTTCAGAAGAGTTTTCCCAAACGCCTTGTGTAC